ACTAAAAATTGCAAAATATTGGTCATGAATAATTTTTTACTCAAATACTATCAACTTTATAGAAAAACTGTGTGCAAGAGACAAAAATTATTTATTTTTTCTTCTCATAAAGCTTTTAAAATTTTTTAAGAATTTTTTATCAACTTTTTATTACTGCATTTTCTTATTTTTATCAACATAAAAAAATACGGTATTAAAAAATTCTGAAAAAATTTTGAAAAAATTCTCAGAACTTTATTCGGGAAGAAAATAAATAATTTTTGTCTCTTGCAGTTTTTCTGTAAAGTTGATAGTATTTGAGTAAAAAATTATTCATGACCAATATTTTGCAATTTTTAGTAATTAATATCTTGTTGACTATTGCGAAAATTGCAAAATGGTAGAGGACTTTTCGATTCAGTTTAATCCGCTCTATCCACACAAAAGTGTTTGGCGAAGAAGGTCGGGACACCCTGTACAGGAATACGTCGAGCGGCCGAGAAAGTACATTTTCGGTTTTTGGTCGCTTATAACAAGCGACTAGTAGAGATAGCGAGACAGCGAGAGAGAATGGCCGTCCTTTTCGCTCTAATACTCGCTTGTATTTACAAGTTACTGATAGAGCGAGAAGAACGGGTGCTCTCTCTCTCTCGCTGTCTTGCTCGCTCTCGCGCAGCGGCGAATTCGGCCGACTTGCTGCCAGTAGGTGTCTGCTTGGTGGGGGTAAAAATGGTGGGGCGGGTTTTCCGTGGTGCCGGGAGCCAAATGGCATCACTGCATTAGATGCACATTTCGGACCGATTCCGGCGCGCGACCCCTACTACCACTCGTGGCTCAGCGGCCGACCTGGCCGTCGGGCAGCGTTGCCAACTGTTGACGGTCAAATATCCGTAAATCGACCCAAAAAAATCCGTAGAAATCCGTAGGCCAGATTTAAAAATCTGTAAAAATTCCGCAGATAATGCAAAGACTGGCAGTCCATATGGTCGAACGGTAATACAGTGCTTATTACTCTGATTAGTACGATTATACAGGGTGTCCCATTTTAATCTATCACCTCAAATATCTCTTGAACAGTGCATTTTAAGGAAAAATGTTTCAGACAAAAGTTTTAGGACTTTGAGGGGGACATAAAATGGTGCCATTGGTTTGATTTTGGGTGGCGTTGTCAAGGTCAGGGCAAGGTCACTTTGAATTTTTTAAATGGAACTCCCCATTTTTCATTACGTATTCTTGTAGCTTACCTCGAGAGCTTTCCAAAACACTATAATTAAGTTCATTTTCATTAAGTACTTTACAAGTTATGAGGCTTGCAAGTTATAGCACTGCAGACATTAGCATTACCCAAGATGTCCGATCGACGGCTAAAATCTCTTAAACATTGTTCGGGATCATTACCTGGATAATATTTGTCAAGATCAAGATCATTGGAGGTTGTACCTCTTATTTTCATTTTTATGTAGAAATAAATTTTTAGTGCAAAAGTTTTTTTCGTGTTTTAGTCTTATTTAAATTAATACTCGAGAAAATTCGCTCTACGCAGGCACTACTGTGTGGCAGAATACTTATGAAGTTTACTAGTTTTGCAATTAGCGGAAACATCGGTTGTTCCAAGTTATTTTCCATATGCGCGATTTGATCCCAAAAGTCCGTGAAAGAAATCGAATTCTTAGTATCTACATTAATATCACAATTTGGAATCAGTCTCCATTCTCGGTCGATATTGTTTAACTCGTATTCGCTTATGACACTAGGAAATTGCAATGCAAGCGGTACAATGGACGGAGTTTTCTTATTTAAGACATTCTTTGGAATTAAAGCGGACATTTCCTTCAATCCGTAGTTGTCGAATGAAATTCGTTTTTTTATCTGATCAATGAGTTCCTGATAAAACTGCAGACAAGATAATTTAAATTTATCTAACTCATGTTCAGGAATATCCTTGTTTGTTTTAATATATGCTGTAACCGCACCACCTAAATACACTTCGTTTAAGGGAAGCAAGATATGTGGATTCCGATGATTTATTTCGTATACAGAGTTTTTTGCTAAATGTTGTTTTCGTATAAACATTTCGAGAATCGTTTTCAATACTGATTCAACTCTTGAATACAGCGTGTAAATCTTTGGATTTTCAGATTGCATCTCTCGGTTAAGATCCGTTATATACGGAAGAATGTAATCTAAAAACAGCAGATACAGTTTACTGAATACATTTTGCATTTTATTGTATATAGTTACTGCGCTCTCTAACTTATTGTTTTCATTAACCTCCGATGTAAAAAACAGTTTTAGTGCGTTCCACTGTTCGAGTACACGCTTAACTACCGCAACTAAAGATAACCAACGCGTTTGAGATGGATGTAGTAATTTATGAGGCTTTATGCTGCAGAAACTTTGAAATTCTTTATACTCTTCAAATTTTTTTGGACTATATTGAAAATATTTGTAAATATCCCTTACTAATGTTTCAACGTAATCTGGAAGGATATTGCACGCATTTGACGCATACAACGCAAAGGAGTGACAAACACATTTAAGAATAAAAATATGAGGAATTTCTTCTTTTAGTAACGTGCTGACGGAGTTTTTATTACCCATCATTACATTGGCTCCGTCCGCTGCAAATCCTACCAAATTTATTTTGTAGGGGATATTTTCTTTATGCATAGCATCAACAATTAAACTGAAAATCGCATTGGCCGTGGCATTTACTATAGGAAGTAATGTAAAGAAGCAGTCTTGAATTTTTCTTTTGATTTTAATTCGTACAACTAATGTTAAATGTTTGGTACAGCCTTTATCGGTAGATTCATCGATGAGCAAAGAAAAATAATTTGTCCGCATCAAATCTATAAGTTCTTTGTGGCTGATTCTTCCAATAACGTTATTAACGATTCCAGTACATTTAGTTCGTCCGCAATTTAAGTTTTCGACAACTTTCGAATCTGTACCAATGTTTTTTATTAGGTTGGGTAAGTGGTCGCATATAGCAAACGGTAGGTTATGTTCGGTTACAAATGCTGCGATTCATATTTCTGCTTTTTTTGTTTTCGAGTCAATATTGTCATGTGTAGCAATTACCGGCAAGATCGATTTTTGGTTTTTCAAAGACGTACAATTTTTTTTATGCTTACTGGAGCTTTCGTGACGTTGTATTTCTGTTAATCCTCCAACGTAATCCTTTTGACATACTTTACAAAAAAAATGGAAGTCGTTGATTTTACTTTTACTTAACCAAGAATAATCTTCTTCCCACGTCGCGACGTATTTCTGCTTGTATTGCTTATACTTATCAGACTTGTGTCCTGTTCCTGAATTGTCATTGGAATGCCGCCGTTTATTTGGTGTCAGTGGCGGACAATTTTTTGCATTCGAATCATTCGACGAATCGGTCTTCATGGCTCGTATCCAAACGCCGTAATGCCCGTAACTATACGCAATTGATACAATAGTTATCGATTATTTTTTATAACCTTACTAACTGTTGTTCGTAACAGTTTCTGATTTAGTTTTATTATTTATTTTGAAAGATGTTTTCTAACTTTTACTACCAAATAGTAATCTCTTGATAAAAGTCATAAAATGAGAATAGCATTACTTTACCACGTATCGAAGAGAATATTCCACTCACGAACCAAATAATAGCCTTCTAATTTTTTTATTTACTTTGCGAAGATGAGAGATGCAAACAGCAAAGTCGATAATACCATGGTTATTCCACTCACCATGAATATTGGATAATACGCATTATACATATGCGAGATTCGAATGATCCGTACAGATCCAGATCAATAAACTGTTAACCGAATGAACATTCAAAGACAAGATGATCAGTGTTGCCAACGTAAAATATGTTTCACCGTCAGATTTGTTTAAAAAAATCACTAGAAAATCGTCAGATTTTAAATGAAAACCGCTAAAAATCCACTAAACCTTTTGCGTATAATAAATATAGTTATAACTAAATAATTAAGCACAAAACACCGCGCATTCCATTCAAATGTAATAAAATTGTACGCTATAAACTTTTTCGTATACTTTATACATTTTTACATAATAACAAATATTTATTTTTTAATATTTATTATAAAGTTGTAAAATATTTATTATATAAAGCTGTTCTATATAATGTAATATTTTTAGTATAAATCAGCAATCACATAAACTTAGAATCTATTCATATATTAAACTATTTTTCCAATTTTTTACATGAATACATTTCCATAATGTGTCTCGATTAAATGAACAAAGTTTCAAAACTTGGAAAATCTAAATCTTCCAAATTTATAGAAGTATACGTATCATTAGAATGAATTTTTGTTAGAAGTTCTGATGGAACTTCGTAATTATAACAGCAGTTTTTGTTTCTACGAAATGCAGCTCGAATGGTCATTATTGCGTTCAACATGTACGAACTCATTTTATTTCTATATTTGTTTTTGATAATGCTCATATGGCTGAAAATTCTTTCGATTTCTGCATTAGAAATAGGCAATACTAACAATGAAATTACAAAAGTAGCTATTTCTAAAAAAGGATTATTTCCAGCAGCATCAGTAAAATTTAAAACTTCAGACCAAAACGGGATAGTTTTAGTCGTATTTTCCCACTTGCATAAAATTAAATTTCTAAATTGATTTTCGATTTTAGTAATATCAAAAGCAGAAACTCCAGATAATTTCAAGATATCTGAGATTTCTTCCTTATTTACTTTTAATGTATTTTCTACAGAGAATACAGAAATTTTTTTCAAAATTTTAATATTTTCAGGAAGTCTTTGTTTAAGTTGGTTGATTAAGTTAATTACAAATTTAATACATCTTGTTTTCACTATAAGGATGTTATCTAAATTCCCTTTTTTCATTTTTTGACATTGACTCTCAAATAAATAACCCATATAAGCATTATTGTCAACATAATCTTCAATTTTATGTGTAAAAATGTCAAATCGAATATTAGGAGCTGTTACTCTTTTGACCAAACTATCAATCAAAAATAATAAATCATTCAGTAGTTTCATAGGATCTACGTCATTAGATTCAAATAACTTATTTACTCTTTGCAATTCTACTAAAATAGGTTGCAAGTAAGAAAAATACAAAAGATTAACATCGTCATCATACATATTGTATAACAGCTCTGCAGTATAACATTTTTCTTTTGACCTGACTATTTGAAAATGTGTTTTTAATTCAAGCCATTGCTCAAATATTCTTGAAAGAGCATTTTCTATACTTAGCCAGCGTGTTGCACAAGCTTGAGGAATTTTTAGAGGTAATTTATCGTTGTTAATTAGCTTGTATGTCTCTTTATATGTTTCTTGTCTTGCAGCTGATTTAGCAAACCATTTATAAGTTTCTCTGAAATATAATAATTATTTAAATGATAGTTAATTGATCACTTCTAAAACATATACATTCATTTAGAATTGGTTAATAATACCAAATTTTTCGGTAATCATTTATTAATAGATAAGAAACTTACCTAATTAGAAAATCTAAGTTTCTTGGTAAAGCATCATCTGAAGCAGCACTAACAGCAAGTTGTATTGAATGGCAAATACACCTAATATGCACTAAATTAGGAACTTCTTCTTTTAATCGTTTATATACTCCATTGTTTATCCCTACCATTACAGAGGCGTTGTCTGTGCCTAATCCTCTAAGATTTTTTACATTTAGTTGAAATAAATTTAAAGTTTCTTTGATAGCATCAACTATACTAGCAGCATCATAATCTTTTAATTGCTTTAAATAAAGAAATGTTGATACTATATCCTTTGTTTTCTCGCTATAGTATTTTATAGTAAGACCAAGAAATTTTAACGTAGACAAATCTGTTGACTCGTCAATCAATAAACTGAAAGGGCTGTTACCAATATCATTTCTTAAATCTTTTATAAAATGTTCATGTAATACGTTTTTTATTATAGCACTGCATTTTGTTCGGTGCATTTGTTGACCTTTTGCTATGTCACTGTCAGTAAAAATATTTTTGGAAAGATTTACCAAATGATCACAACTCATTATTGAACAGTGTTGTGCAATAAATAAAGCATTTTTTACATCAGCCAGCTTCACGCTATTATTCATAGTCATCTTAGAAAATTCTATTCTTTTTTGCATAAAAACAACATCAGAAACTGCTTTCTTATGTTTTCGTGTTTCCATATGACTTTTTAAATCGCTTAATCGACAAGAAGTAAATATGCTATGACAATATTTACATTTAGCATGATCATCTTCAGCCATTAGCCATGATTTAAAGTTGGGATCTGTAAGCCACGCCATGCGAAATTTCTGTTTGTAGTTTTTCGGCATTCCTACAGGTTATAGGCTGTGTTCCGATATTTACTTAATTAATTGGCAATATTGTACTGAGAACTGAGATTGTAACTTATTGCCGTGATGATTTTTGCCGTTTTCGCGCGGTATCGTTAATACTTTGTCTAAGAGACAAGAAATTGTATTTCAATTGGACGAAAACATCGAAATTTTATCCTTGACTCCTCTTCCCGCTGCCAGTGTTCGTTTCGATCAGGAAAGTCCCCCTCTCCGGCCAACTCTTTCTATTTTCCCCGCTAGGCGCTATTCGCACTGCGCAAACCGAGATACATTCTCGTGCTGGACAAGAGTATAGTGACACTTAACAGCCATTGGCTGCGTTCAGCAGACTCAACAGTTTTGCAACCGTTTTATGATTGTCTGCTAAGATAGGACCATTCTTCTAGATCTAAAAGTATGATTCAATCAGCGCAAAGGAAACTTCCAACAGTTGCAAAACAAACGTTCTGCTGAACGCAGTCAATGGCAAGGACGATCCTGACGGCAGTGTATTAGACCATACCGTCAACTGCAAAATAAAAATCACCAGATTTCCCGTTAGCCGTTATTTTCGAATTATTACCGTCAAATCAAGATAGAAACCGCTAGATTTAACGGGAAAATCACCAAATTGGTAACACTGAAGAAGACCGGGCGAAATATGGCTAATGGTAATGTTAATGATAGAGAGATGCCTCCAAGCGTGTCCAAGCCTCGATCGCAGAGTCACATTGGTCGCGTTCAGCAGACTCAACTGTTGCAGAACGAATCCATGAGCTCTCGCTGCTATTGGTGTATTCTTTTAGATCATCCAATAACAGCGAGCGCTCACGGATCCGCTCCGCAACAGTTGAGTCTGCTAAACACGACCATTCGGCATTCACAGTCACACTCACACTGTATCCGACGCTCGTCGCACGACGACTGCGCAACCAATCAGAAAATAGGATTTTGCTTCGTATCGATGATACGAATTTTCTAATTGGTTGCAGAGTTGTCGCACGACGCACATCGGTTGTAGTATGAATCCTGTAAATGAATTGGTAAAAAATCCGTAGAATCGGTAAAATTTAGGACAAAATCTGTAAATCTGTAGGGAATGTTAAAAATCCGTAGATCTACGGATAAATCCGTAGGGTTGGCAACGCTGCCGTCGGGTGCACGTGACGTTTTGGCTCAGGAGCGTCTCTGTAGGTTAAACGTGCAGAGGTCGTACCTTACGTTATTAAAGAATATTTTTCTTGCAAAATAATTTTTATTTTCTTAAAAAATCAAATACTAAATTTTCTAAAATATTTTGTCATAGTAATTCTTGCCTACTAGAAACCATTCAATAATTGTTATTAATTTACATCGAGAAGTTTCTATAACAGACTTGCGAAGATTGAAGTTGGGAAATACGTGAATCTAGAAATTCCGTGTTTTCCATACGAAGTCTTACAAAGTCTCAAGTAACAAGGATTCTATATCGCACAATAACTATTTTCTTCTATAACCGAATATAATTTTATCATTTTAAATTTTGGCTAACGATTAATTGTTAACATTCTCTTTAACGTATGTAATACTGTCTTTATGTAATTTTTTAAAAAAGAATGTTGTGGGAATAGCCAGTGGAATCTTGACAATGTCACCATTGGCTATTTCTAGGATCTCAATCTCACCGAAGGAAGTACCAAAAAGCAGATTATCTACAGGAATGGCATCAGCCGTATTTTTGGCAAGTAGATTAAGAACTGGTTTAATCTGAGCTCTTCTAGAGAGAGACAGGCGGTAAAAAAGATCAGTTAATATCAGTGCTCCATCGTTGATCTTAGAAATGACCGGATATCAGGGTTTAGTGAATGTTGTAGATCCGGCTTCAGGAAATCCAAAATAGCTTCTCCTAGGATACACAAAACAATTCCAGTCTAGTCGTGATCCTTACAGTTAAAATCATTTCTCTTGATGATAGAATTATTTCTTAAAGCTGATCTGCACTCCGGATTCAATCTAAGAACCTTCAGAAAAGATAATCTTGGAAGGAGAATATTTCTTCATCAGGACCTCCTGATCAAACTCCAGGCTTTGGCGAGTAAGATTCTGCCATTTAGAGACAATCAGATCGTTCCAGAGCTAAATGTCGATACCAACAAGGTTGGGACCGAACAGTTTCGTCGTTAGAGCATTCGCATTATCCTTATTTAATCCCACGGAAGTGGATAAATCAGATAGAGTAGCAGGAGAAACTGGAAGGGAAGAGAGTAACTCGTTCACTAACCAACGAGCAAAAAGAAGTAGAGAATCCTCTGACTAAAAATAGAAAGATGTGACGATCGTCCATCTGCATTCTACAAATACAGATCCAGTACGTATGTACACGCCTATAATATGCGAATCTCTCTTGGCTCCTCCTGACTCGCATGAGGCTTTGGCGCTGTCAAAGAATCTTCATCGACGAAGTCTGAAGCGAAAGTTTCGGGAAGGGAAATTGGCTTCACGATCAAACGGATCTCGATTCGATAGCAGACACTCGATCATCACGATCATTCAGATCGAAAAGGAGATGCCAACAAGGATAAAGGGGAGAAGCGAGACCGATCAGCTTCTCTATCTGAGAGAACATCTATAAGGCGTAAAATCTCCTTGAGAACTGCAAGACGATCCCTTGATGAAAAGCTCTTCCTCTTCTTTGAATTACGTTCTGATTTTCCCATTATATAAAGAGAAAACTAAAAAAGATTAGTAAAATTGTCACACGAGAAACGTATAACAGAAAAACAATGAAGACTCGTGCCTGCGCACGCGGTGCCGTCTGATAGCTTTTTCCTGTCAAGCTTTAAATTTCCTGTTGGGGATAGTCTTAGAACATACATACTGGAAGAGCCATGCTGTATGTAATCAATGTAATAAAAGTATCTTCAACACATGGAGGAAGGATAACATATAAGGCCTGTTCTTTTTGGCTGAACTTTTGCGCCAGTTCATCTTTCTTTCTTTTCTCTCCAGGAGGAAAGAAAAGGAAGAAAGGTGAACTGGTGCAAAAGTTCAGCCAAAAACAGGCCTATGATGTGCACAGTTTGCAATCTTCTTTCTCCGACCTCTCTGTCTATGAATGTCGATGAAAGCCTAAAGGCTGCTAACTGTGAAATGCTAAACATGGGGCGATTCATAGTCCGTTTTCATTTTAAAACTGTCTTAAGTAATGTCTTAAAATGCTAATACAGTCCTCGGATTGACTTGTCTAGATTCTTTGTTTTCGCGAAATAAATTACTTATAATGTATATGCCTTTTCTCCGATTCTCGCGCGTAATCACGAACAGTTTAGCCCGCGGTCCCAACCCCCGTGCTTTTCATCCTTT